TATATATATATATATATATATATATATATATTATATATATATATATATATATATATATATATATATATATATATAATATATATATATATATATATATATATATATATATATGATATATATTATATATATATATATATATATATATATATATATATATTATATATATATATATATATATATATATATATATTATATATATATATATATATGATATATATAATATATATGATATATATATATATATATATATATATTATATATATATATATAATATATGATATATATATATATATATATATATATATATATATATATAATATATATATATATATATATATATATATATATATATATATATATATATATATATATACATATATATGATATATACATGATATATATATATATATATATACATGATATATGATATATATATACATGATATATATATACATTATATATATATATATATATATATATATATATATATATATATATATATATATATTAGCAAAAGCATAAAGTTGTGAAATTGTGAATAGGAATTCACTGCTGGAACTTTTAGCAAAATCTTTACATCCATCAAATCTACATTCCTTGAGCAGAAAAGGTATTGTAATGATATGACACAGAAAAGCTATGATGCAATGGCCCTTTCACATAAGTATCTCAAAGCCCTTGTTGGTTTTCACTGAAGAGGTACCTATATATATAATATTATATATTATATATATATATATATATATATATATATATATATATATATATATATATAATATATATATATATATATATATATATATATATATATATATAATTTTTTTTTTGTCTACTCAAGTAATTATGAACACCCCTGTTTCCAGTATAATTGTTTTGTGAAAGAAAGAATGTAATTTCACATGCATAACTATCAAATGAATTACAAATATATCTGTATCTTTGCATAAAACTGGGCTGGCTGCTTATGCTTCAAGGACATTAAAAAGACAATGAAACATATGGCTTAATACAATTAACAGTCTTGCATCCACAAACCTTGTTTTCCATGGATACTCAGCAGGCCTCACATCCGCAATGGTGATTCTTAACTATCATTTATCACCACAACTCATTTTAACTTAATCCTGAAGACACCACAGGATTCAATGAAGTTTGCAATCTCCAGGTTACTCTGAGCCACTTGAGGAATGGGCAAGAAAGTCACCTACCTCATATACACAGTTATATTGTCCACATTTAGTTTTGTAGTTATCATCCATATGATTTCAAACTTTAGATACCAAATAGCTTTTAACTACTGTACAACGTACTTATTAGTGTACTTCATTGACAATATTTTTATCTGAATATCATAATACCTTTGTGATGAGGTTAAAATCGACAGAAGTCTTTATCTACATTATAAAGCAATAATGAAAGTAATGATGATGATGATAATAATAATAACAATAATAATAACAATGATAAGAAATAATATTAATAATAATAATAATAATAATAATAACAATAATAACTATAATAATAATAATAATAAAATTAATAATGATAATGATAATAATAATAATAATAATAATAATATCAATAACAATAACATCAACCCACATGTGACGGTACATTTTCAAGCCAAAAAATAATATTCTACGGGTGCCTTCAAAACCTGCGCGCAGGCAACAAAATCAGAGCACAAGCTCCAATCTAGTGTTGCACTGGCAGGACCCTCGGTAAGGTTTATTTTTCCGGGTGTCTCATGTGTGAAATCACCTGTTGTAAGTTGGCTAATAATAATAATTATAATAATAATAATAATAATAATAATAATAATAATAATAATAATAATAATAATAATAATAATAATAATATAATAATAATTATAATAATAATAATAATTACAAAAATAATACAGTAACAATAATGCTACTAAGAACAATGACAATAAAAATGATTGATGATAATGATGATGAAAACAGTAAAACAACAGGTACAGAGTAAATGGTGGTAACAAAAAATATACAACATGAATAACATGAATAAGAACTCCTAACTCCATTAATTAAAAAAGAAAGAAAGAAACATCTACCATATTCTGTCTTCAACTACCTTTATCTAACTTAAGCACCCACTATTTTTCCTAAAGCTACTTTTAATTTGCCAATATCTAATAAAATTATGCCTGGGCCATAGGCAACCCACCCATAAACTTTTGTCACAATTCATGGGTAACTTTTGCATGATCCCTCTCACAAACCAATTCACCAAGTGACCAGTGTGCCAATAAATATAAGCATGAAGGAAATTAAGTTCAGTCAAGACTTCAATCCATTTTCCATCTGTTTTGGGTCATTTCTTAGATTCATTACTCACCTATAAAATGTAAAGGTTGTCTATAGTAGCAATTAAATACAAGTTCTTCACTGCTAGCAGTAACTGTTACCGATAGCGCTGCCCCTTCCCAGAGACTAATTTGAAAAAAAATTGTTTTTTCTCCTGGAAATCCAATGATTTCATCGAGTCTTAGCGTTTTTCTTTCTGCAAATGAATCATTGAAGAGATCGAGTACCATTTCTCGAACTTGATTTGATAGACCCGATAACTGGGGAGGGCATGATGTATATCAGGGAAATTACAGGGTAAACAGGCTTAAATAAGAAGAATGAAGAACAAAAATGTGTAAAACCATCACAAAAAAACGCTTAAAATTGGCCAATAAACCTTTGAAATTTCTAGATTGACATGCCAAAATTAAAAAACTCTACAGGAACCCAACCCACCTTTATATACAGGAATTAACATTTTCCAAACCCCCTAAAAGAAGTACTGACTAATAAACCAACCCAATCTAACATCTCAAGTTACCATGACTAGGATTGCCCTTCGGAGCTCCGACCCAAACCACCCACATGAAACATTCTCTTGTACGGCAAGACAGAGCTGCGTTCACACCGTAAAATATTAAACCAAATACCTCTATATCTGGAAACGTCAAACTTTCGTTTCCTTCTTTCTCCTGTCTGGCTTTATTTTGATTGTAATTGTTTTTTTGGCATTTGGGGCACTTGAAGAGTTCAGGAATTAAACTGGGATGGCTACTAAAGTCTTTTTCTTCTTCGTTGTCACTGTATAATCTTAAGAATAACCCAGAATCAACACAACACTGGAAATACAACATTTCTTATAGGCCTTCTGCCACTGAATGGCCAGTGAGCTGTCGAACTTCATGGCTGAAAGTGTGAAACACACAATGCGCCTATCATTCTAAATAAGTATATATATAAATCTTAAAATGCGTAAATGAAGTATAACATTAATGATAGACTTTAAAAGCATAAAAGTGTAACAGCAGACACTGCTACTTAGCCAAATATCGTTTTGACAAGCACGTAGTAACACAAACTACTTTGGATATCGCAGGAGTTATGTAACCTGTGTTATGCTATTCCTGGCATGGTAAACAAAATGAATCTTAGAATCTGAGCCTTGATAGGCAGGGTATATTTTGTCATTTAGTGGCGACTATGAGGCTGGTGCTGCTTAAACTATTTTTGTATCCTATTCTATTTCTTCACTTTATAAGATGGCAGTCATCATTTCCCTCTATCTCCGAGAGTTACTATAAGTAACTTATACCCTGTTAGCAAGCAATATGTGGCACTCTTTTCTGCAAGAAATGACACATAGGTATTTACCTATCAACAAAATTAAATAGTAATTGGTCAACTTTAAGTTCTGATTTTTAATAATAACAAAACTGTTTAACAAGAACTAATAAAACTATAAATAAAATATATGAAAGATTAACAATAAAAGTAGAGAAGGCATGAATGAGAATGAATATCTTAATGCAAGAGAAGTAACTGACCAGTTTCCATTATATCTTCGTCAGAAATACATCTGCACCTTTTCTACATTTTCCAATAATAACAGTAATAACAGTAATGATATTGAAAATGGCAATGATAATACTAACATTAAGAACCCCAATAATAATAAACAATTATGATTATGTTGATAAAAAAAAAAAAAGATGATATCAATAATGTCAAATAACAATAAAAACAATATTAATAACAACACAAACAATAACAACAACAACTACAAAAATGATAATAATAATGATAATCAAAACAATTATAACAATAATAATGATGATAATAATAGTAGTGATAATAACAATGACAACAATAATAAAGATAAAAGTAGTAATAATAATAATTAATAATAACAATAACAATAACAAAATCAATAATAATAATAATAATAATAATAATAATAATAATAACAACAATCATCATCATCACCATCATAATAACAATAATAATAATAATAATAATAATGGTAACAATAACAGTGAAAATAACAAAAATACCAACAACAACAATACTAAGAAGATTCATACCCATAATAATAATTACTATCATTATTACTATTATCATATTATTACAATGATCATATTGTAATTATCATATCATTATCATCTTATAACTATTATCATAACCACAATAAAAAAAAAAAAAAATCCGTACACAACTTTTCTCCCAAAATACAAAAATTACAAGAACTTGTTTAATGCATTCTCTGAAATAGTAAAGTTACTAGTAAAAAAATATACATATAAGAATATCTTGATGCAAACCTGCAAATATCAGCAATAAAAAATCAATAAATAAAGAATAATAATAATAAAAAAAATGTTGGGCTGTTATTCCACAAATCAGAATCAATAAAAATTATCCACTACATGATAGTGAACACTTCAAATTTAAAAGAGTTCTTATAATTAAATAATCTCTGAAGCTACTATCTCTGTCAATTCAAAATCAATCCATGGCTTATATGGGATTGCTGTCTGACTTAATGAAAAAAAGAGAAAAAAAAATGTAGGATGATTTACTTAGTCCTACAAGAGTTGCTTGAGTATTGGTCTAATTTGACTCTTTCCAGAAAATTATAAAAATATGATATTCTAACTACAGGTAACTTATAAAAGTTACTTGTCAAGAGCCAAGCATTCAGAGATTCTAGACATAAACAAAACTCACCACCTGATCAATATGCTGAAGTAACAATGTCCAGGCTTGGAAGTCATTTGGGTTGTCATTCACATTCTTCCATAGCTTATCAACTTCATTGGTGCGTTTCTTTGATGCAGGTTCATCATCACTGGGAGTTGCACTTGGGGGACGTTTGCGCATATTTTCTTCATCAGTTTCTTTCATCTGGATGGGTGACATTTAAAATTACAATAGATTTCAATACATCTAATCAATTATGAAAGCACATTAGAAGAACAATTAATTATTAAAATATCATACATATATTATACATATGTTTATATGTACATACAAACATACAGACTTGCATACACTCTTATCCTATATATATTGTCTCATGTGCAACAAACATTTGTCACATAAAATAACATTTCTAACAAAGTTCTAGATTTTGTTGCTATATACATTGTTTTTTTTCATTAGTTTACCTAACTAATCCTGATAATGTAATGGGACAGTTACTCTACAGTACCAAATTTGCTGCTTCCCTTCCAGTGATGTGAGGAGTATTGTACATCTTACTGCTAAAACCAATAACAGTTAATAAATACCTCTTCTTCTTCTTGTTCCTCATTGTTCTCATAGGATTCTGGCTGAATGCCCTCAGGAACCTGATCTGAGTCTTCACCATCCAGTATTTCCTCTCTGATCATGTCACTTAGCATGTCTGAATCAGGCATACCAAGATTACTGTGATCATCCATATCCATCTTGTTCTGAAATAAACAAATAAATCATATCAACACCATCATTCATGAAACTTAAATGTATTGTAGATAGACATTACATATCATACTTTGGACTTATGACCAATGCAGCACATTTCAGAATAACAAAGGTGTAAAACATGCATCACCCACATGACAAATATGCACTTTTTGGTATTACAGGAAAGGTCAACAAACATCCACTTCATATATTCTAGTCTGATAGCATATAGACTGGTTCCTTGTTTGGAAATAAACCTCCAGGATTTATTATTACCATTCATATATGCTGTGCCACAACTAATACAGCCCCCTGTAGTAGTCTTCCTACCATATTTGCACAGGAAGTGTTGTACTGAGGATTCACTGTCTTGAATCATTTGGCAGAAAACATTGCACAGAATATGCAAAATGAAATCATTCTCACTTACAATTGGCCTTATGTTGTTTTGCTGGCTTTAACTGAAAATCCAGTATTTTGTTACAATTATAACCAAAATGTGTCAATCACATGTTTATCACCCTCAAGAAAATGTTAGAGGAGCCTGCAGGTGGATCAAGACTGCCACTGCCACTTATGCAGGATGCCTACATAAAGCAGAACACTATATGTGAGCTCATCTCTTTCACCATAGTCTGTGATGCTAATTTGCATTTTTTTTCTTCTACTTTTTTTAAGCTTTTTAGTTAACTGTTTCCGTGAGTGATGGCTACAGGGTAAACAATTTCTTTAAACCTAACTTTCCAGTTTACAATGAAAATACGATCATAAGTCATAGAAGGAAGTTTCCTTATGCACTTACGAATGGAGGTGTCTATAATTATATAAGCAAAGCAAAGGAAGAACAGCTTTAATCTTACAATGCCCTATCGGTCAATCTTGTACAGGTCTACCTCCTCTTAACACACAAAGCGACACCATGCACACACACTACATAACAAACACATTTTATTGTCTCCCAAGTATGATATCCACTTTTAAGGTAAGTTAAAGGCAAATTTCTTGATCATGAGAAGACATTGAAGAATGAAGTTATGTTCACTCTACTATGACCTTACTTGATATCCTGTTTCCTTAAGTTTTCAGTTTTTTTTTTTTTTTTCTAATAACATCAATATCGATCCAGTTGTTGCTATTACCGACATTATAATCATTACAGTATTATGAACAATCCTTACAGCAATATAAAATAAAGAATATTTCTAAAATAAAGGAAAAGGATAAACAAGTAAGTAGGATTAGAAAAATAACTGCTTGGGATTTAGCATCTGCATAAGAACAATTATCAAACTGAAGCCAGAGTACACATCGCATGTACATACATCACGCTTTCTGTGTAGCACTTTCAACCAACCTGGATACATTTTCGATTAGTAATTCTTAAATCCTTTATTTTATCACATTTCCTCTCTTCCTTTTAAGCTTATACATTATTATTGGTCATCTATCTAATGTCTGTATTTTCTGATTGGATAACAATATAAATCCATTCCGTTGCGACAAAACGCAAAAATTAAATAGAAAAGTTGGATGCAATTTTTAAAAATCACTTTTTAAGAACACCTGGTTTGATAATAGTAAGCTCAATTTTGAAACTAATTTAAAATTTGTCAATTTGTATCTGAGAGTGAGGTTTTCATAGGAATCTTTATAGAGCAAATTTAACTTTCCAAACAAGACTATTTGCGATTGGGCAAGCTTCTGTTGAAAGGTTTTAATTCTTTGGTGCACTGAAAATCAATCCAACAAAATTGGTGGGTTGGGAAATTGTTGAGATTGATGAATCTCAATTTGGAAATGGAAAATATAATGTTAATTGTTATTGAAGGTCAGTGGATTCTTAAAGCAGTATGCCGTAAGAGTAGGGTTTTTTTTCCTCGTACCCGTGGAGGCGCGTGACATGCTCTCTTTGCATAACGTCATTAAGGAGTATATCCACCCCGGGACAACAATCATTAGTGACTGTTGGAAGGCATGCAACAGTCTTGAAAAAGAGGGCTATCAACATTTAACTGAGAATCATTCATTATGATTTTGTTTACCCTGACAAGGCGCACACTAATATGATCGAGCGTAAATGGAGGGGGGCCAAAGCCAAAGTGGCCCGCTTCTGCAAGAGGGATTACCACTTCGCTGGGTATCTGGCTAGGGCAATTTTTCTTTTGGTCTACTCAGTGGAGAACAAATGTTTCCATCAGTTCCTCCTCGCTGCAGCTCATCTGTGCCCTCCACACTGACGGTGTCACAAATATTGTTTTAATGTATATATATATATATATATATATATATATATATATATATATATATATATATAAAACCTGACATCGTGCTATCAAGAGGGGGGGATACATTGGATAGGTTTCAGTATTTGGGTTCACTTGATAACTACAGTTTTTGTTATTTTGTTGTAAACTTTGGTCTGTGTTTCAGATATCAAGTTTGTATGCATTGCATTTTATGCTTGTTTACTTTTGAGATATTTAATTTGTTATCCATCGGACAAAGTTTGGCTCGTATCTCTGAATAAACGGCCTTACTATGGTTTTCTGGATACAAAGTTTGGCTCGAATTTCAGAAAATTATACTTCTTAAAAGGTATTTATTTTCTTTCGACATTTACAGGTTGATACTGACATCAAGCCCCAACCCATTTAGTTGCTTTGTGAAATCCATTATCGACACTCACCTCCTCCTCACCTTTTGGAACTTAGTCTCAGGGAGGGTGCATCGCTATCACTTTATTATTAGCAATTGCCCAATGACTTCAACTTCTCATCTTCTACAACATCTTTAATTTGTCCAAGAGTATACACCAATATTACACTCTAGCAATATCACTCACATGGCCCCCAATGAGATAAAAAATATTTTTCACATTTACTGGCAAAACAGATGTGCAACCAGACCACACAGGAACCATAAATAACTAATGCTTTATGTTGATGTACAGCAATTCCACAACAATTAACCCAATGAAAATGAGTGCTTTGTGCATCATACTAGATGATGTGCCGAATAGCGTTTGCGGTCAGCTGTTTCAGGGAAAAATTGGAAGTTTGGGAAGTATGTAATTCCCCTACTCTCTGCAACTTGGCTCTTTGCCAGTGAATGAGGCTAAAAAGCAACTTTAAGCCTATTTCTGGGCGGTCTTAATTCCTCAATAACTGAAGTAATGGCCAAACAAGGACTTTAAGCCTATTTCTAGGCGGTCTTAATTCCTCAATAACTGCAGTAATGGCCTAACAAGGTACGCCATGGCACAACCGCCCATGACAAGGGGTTAAGTATCACTCCATCTCTATAGGACTCTCCAGGAGGTTATCTACAATAGCATGACTTGGGCAGCTTTCCTACTTAACAATAAATTAGAGCAAGGTCTACCAGCTTTATCATGCTCTGTCATGGAGACTTGTTAACTTTTTCTAGAGTCAAAGGTGCAGAAGCCACCAACAGATGGGTAATTTTCTTGAATAGGTCCAGACTTTAAAATTTACCAACTCTGGTATCAACGGTTGCCTTGTGATGTCCAGTACGTAATTATGATAGTTTTAGCAACCACTAGACATCATAGCATTGTTAATGAACCCAAAACTTAGGGTAGATTAACCCGTCAATGACTGGCATCACACCGATGAGACAGAGAAAAAGGGGTAATTGTCACTGAGAGAGAGACTCCATCAAAGAGACTAGGTCCAAAAACCAGGGTATCATGCAAACCCAAACACCAAACCTAACATTTCCTACCTTCTACTTATTCTCTAGATAGAGGGTCAGGCCCATATGTACCCCCACTTATTAGCACTTCGTGCCAACCTTTAGAAAATGGACATTAAGACCTCTGGCTGTGTGAGGGTGTTGTGGACTTGGGTCTCTGAGCGGTGATATGCAGCGGATATTTTCTTCATTTAGCGGTAAATATGAGGCCACTGCAGCTTAAACTATGTTATTCCTTATTCTATTTCCTACACTCTATAAGATGCCGTTATCCATTTCCCACTATCTCCGTGCGACACTTTCAGTACCCTAGCCTTTACGCAAAAAGAATAATAGCCAGTGTCTTTCATGCGAGAAGATTGCGTTTTTGGGTTACCCCAAGGTAGGTGTGCATGTATGGCACAGACGCTAGTGGTGGCTACTCAGGTGTACAATACGATCTTACCATTCCTTTCTCACTGCGTAACTGACGCAAACGCAAACCATTTATCCGCAAGTGTTGTCATGGCTCCTCCAACAGCTGCTCCCTGCTCTAAACTCCCTGACCCTAATATATCAAGAGACAGCCTGGCTTTCCAGCTGTAAGTGATCCCTCACCGTTGTGGCCCCAGTCCCAGTCCTCTAACTCGGACCTCTGAGGACCCCCAGCAGCCCCAGGGGCGCCTCTCTCCCTCTCTCACAAACACCTCATACATTCGTTGCTTCCGTGACTCACACACACAAGCTCCTCCTGCAGCCCCCGTCTCCCGAGCCCCAAGGGACTGTCACGCCGCCCTGCTCCCTCGGGCGAGGAGGCCCTGGGCGCGATGCTCGCCCTTGGCCTCCCGGAATTCCTCGCCCAATTAAAGTCCTCCAAGCAAATGGCTTTCCCGGAGCATTCCTGGCCACTGACTCCCTCCAAGTTCCACCTCTGCGCAATGTGCCTGAACACGAACGCCACAGTCCGCATCATACTTACAGAATTGTTCTCGGGCGACTCAAAATAGGAGCGTTTTTCACCTTATGCGAACTTCACCACGTCCGACACTGCGAAAATGGCGTCGTCTCTGGGGATACGGGCTCTCGCATTTCCTGCTCTCGATGTTTTTCTTTGTTTTAGCGTTGGTGTACAATATAACTGTGTCAAATAAATGTCTGAATGCTATTAGGATATTTTCACTCCTGTCTACTACAAAAGATTAATCTAACAAATTCCAGCATAATTCTTTTAAGCCCCGATCTCCTTTCAACGTATGAGACAATCAATGTTATTTCGTAATAAGAAAACTGTTCAGAATGTTATGTGTAAACGAATTTAATTCTCTGATTGAAGAACTAAGTCTAATTGCAAAATGTGATGTGTACGATTTCATGGCCGAAATTCGAATAGGCCTACCTCGTGCAAAAGCAAGCACATGCTCCGCTCTCTCCCTCCCTCCTCCCCCTCTCTCTCTTCTCTCTCCCCTCTCTCTTCTCTCTCTCTCTCTCTCTCTCTCTCTCTCTCTCTCTCTCCTCTCTCTCTCTCTCTCTCTCTCTCTCTCTCTCTCTCTCTCTCTCTCTCTCTCTCTCTCTCTCTCTCTCTCTTTCTCTTTAACACACACCTGCGGTATATATAAAAACGAAACCTGGAAAAAAATAAAATGAATTATCTTATTTTTGCTTTGCATTTCATTTAACGAAGTGTTTTTCCAAGCTATTTAAGCTTGTAAATGGAATATTGTTACACCAGTTTATTATGTAGTCAGCAGTATTTTCGGATGCATGTCCTTCCTTCTTCAGGAGTAACCTATAGCAAAGTATATAATCTTTGAAAAAGCATCCTTTCCGATGGCAATTAGGGTGTCGCGAAACGATCCGCGACACCTATCACGAGACACAAAAGGCATCTTTTCCAGCGGTTACGGGAAACGCGACACCTCTTGCGCGACAGGAATCGAGCAGACGGTTAACTTTAAATGAGTTGCCAGATGCATTCCTCCTACTTTGGATATTTCATGCATATTCGTACTTATATTGGATATCTATAATACCGCACTACTCGCCATAAGATATCAAGAGCTATCTTGGATATCATATTCCAAAATACAGTTTACCTGTTGGAAAAATAACCAGTACAGTAAAATAGCAAGCCGTCAACCGCGATCATTCCCATTACGTCACAGAAATGGGCGGAGCTTAGAGGCCTGTCTCGCCTCCGATCACGAGACATTTTGTGTCTCGTGATAGGTGTCGCGGAGCGTTTCGCGACACCCTAATTACCACCGGAAAAGATGCCTAAAGTGTCTCGTGATCGGAGGCGAGACAGGCCTCTAAGCTCCGCCCATTTCTGTGACGTAATGGGAATGATCGCGGTTGACGGCTAGCTATTTTACTGTACTGGTTATTTTTCCAACAGGTAAACAGTATTTTGGAATATAATATCCAAGAAGGCTTTTGATATCTTATGGTGGGTAGTGTGGTGTTATAGATATCCAACAGAAGTACGAATATGCATGAAATATCCAAAGTAGGAGGAACGCATCTGGCAACTCATTTAAAGTTAACCGTCTGCTCGATTCCTGTCGCGCAAGACGTGTCGCGTTTCCCGTAACCGCTGGAAAAGATGCCTTTTGCCCATAGCACCGTAATTCATAGCCCCAGATGAACGGCTTATAAACATTATCCCTGTGCTTCCTATACCACTACGGTGTCTCCCTTTGGTTTCTCTATTTGTTACCCTTTAAGTATAGTTTTACACAAAAAGCCATTCCAGAAGGCTTTCTATGAAGCAGGCTGTGTACTGAGCTCCTAACGAATATACTGACTGTCTTCACGTTAAGCCCACCATAAAGCGACCAGAACGTGTAGACAAACCAGCATTTACTATCACGACCTAGAATCACTGGTAAACAAGTAACGTTGCTGGCAATTGGCACACCTGGCCTTGAAGTCCTCCTGCCATGCAACCATCAGCGTTGCACCACATCATTCGATGTTTGGCAGAGATTGCAAAACACTTAACGCAGTGAAGGATGCAGCCAAATAACATTCATAAACCATTTCCTAGCTCTTGTATTTCATGTGTTCTTATTTTTGTTTTGATTTTCAGTCCACATAATCTGCCATTTTTATACTTATCGGTAAGAACTCACGATAGAGATATGTAGCTCCAAGCAAGCTGATCACTAGCAAGAACTTCCCTGTTCAGAGCCGATGCCAAAGCTGCTATGAAGAAGGGAAATTCAAAAGTTATTCAGGAAGTATGAATATTTTCCATAGGATACTCAGGTATGTAAAAGTCTTTATGTACATGTTAAAGGACTATGAAATCACGAAGATGAAAAGGGGGTTCACAAGGAGAATTTGAAGAGCAGTTAATGCGCAGGTGTCCCGAAAGGGCAACAGGAAACGCCGTTCCACGTAACGTCCGCGGGGCCCCTCTCGATCACTGAACGACAGAGCTCTTCGCAGGTGATATACGTTCAAGAATCAAA